TGCACCCGCTTGCGAGCCATGGTGAGTAACGGCCGCGGGGGGGGGAGGGGGCGACGCGCTGAGCCCGTCTCCGGCCACGGCGCTGTGCACGTCAGCTCAGCCGGCGTTAACTCTGGATCCTACTGACGGGTGGGGACCACTTCATGCTCTGATGCTACTAGGGCGGGGGGTGGCCTCTGCTCGGAATTGGGAGCAGCTGCTGAGCAGGACGAGTATCTGTAGTGGTCGTATACGAGGGAGCGCCTGGGGGACATCAGCACCGGGGTGGCCTGTGGGAGGGACGGTACAAACACAGAGTAGCATAGCAGACAGGCTCTGCCCTGAGCAACTCCCAGTGCAAGTAGCAAGGTGGACGCAGGGCAGAGAGGGATATGTTGCACAGGCCGTTATAGCCACCCCAGAGCCCACAGAAACCATCATGAAGGCCTACAAATAATGAAAGAAAAATCATTGGGGATCTTTCAATTGCATTCTGTTTCCTGACTACTTGTCTTTATAATTGACTGACAACTTGAGCTGCTTTTTGTTCATCCACGGTTATTAGAATCTTAGAGGATTGTCTCATGAAAGGTGGAAATCCTTTGGATGCAGGACAGAGACACCGTTTAAGAAAAACTCCTGTATCTCAAGCTTTATCAAAGTCAGGAGAGTTGGCAATAGTGAAGGAGAAGTCAAAGAGCGAAAGGAGATTGGGAGGCCCAGTAAAGAGCAAGGATTGGTGATGAAGTGGAAACAAGAGACAGCAATACTGTTAGCCTTAAAAAGAAGCATAACTTTCCGTTGTGATAAAATACTAAACTGTTCTTAAGTAAAAGGTGTGTTTATTACATACCCTCCATCTCTGTGCAAACCTTCCTCTGATATCAGCAGATTGCGTATAAGAATAGATTAATTTATTTCCTTGCTCTATGCAGATCATAAGTGGAATTCTGCCCACTCCACAGAATGGGCTTCAGAGGCACACTTCGTAGTTTAACCAATAAGTTGCTGGGTTGCATAAATGGAGACCTAAATTTTAAACATTGCATTTGTGCCACTGTTCTCCTATAAGTTCGTGATTGGCAGTAGTAGCATTTACATCTCATTTATTGTCATTGCCTCTCATTTTGTGATAACTTCAGACATAAAATTCCAAAATGCAAACAATATTAAAAGCACAGCCTGACAGTTGATAAATCCTTACATCAGTGTATCCCAAATACTACATAACATGTCACATTATTTGATATTACATTTTCAAATTAAAAAGGAAGGAAGGGATGGTTATATGTGATTAAAACAATTATATAATATTTTCATGTCAGAGTTCTCAATACAGCTGATTGGAAAATGTAAGGAACACAAATACATTCCTGCAGTTGACACATTTAAAACCTATTAAGTGTGCTGCTTTTAGACCCATAGGCCAGATCCAGTGCACCAGGATTAGTGCCTGGTGGGCCCTCACCTCTGTTTACCTGCACCTCCCCAGGTATCCCCCTCTGTTTACCTGCACCTCCACAGGTATCCAAGCAATTGCAGCTGTAGTTGGCTGCAGAGCGGTGGTAAGCAGTGTGGAACAAGACACTGTTTCCCACCACTCCCACTGGCAATGAACGGCAGTCAACAGCCAATGAGAGCAGCAATCACCTGAAACCTGTGGAGGCACAGCTAAACATGTCAATAGCACTTTTTTACCACCCAACCCTGTTTTACGTGATGCGGTGCATGTGACAAGAACACGTAATTTTGCTTGGGTTTGTAAGCACAGCTGTTTGAGAGTGTAACATTTTCTGAAACTTTACAGCAAGGAATGTGGGGACAGGAGCTTGGGAGGGGGCGTTCCTTAGAAAAGTTTTAATTTTCATTTTTTATAACCAGAGTATCACTTCTTTTTTTAAGCCTCACAAAAGGAAGAAACCCTTTATAGAAAAAAAGAAAGCTGTAACATTTCACCTGGTACACAGAAGTCAGAGGGACCCTTTGACAGCTGATGATACTGCACCTCAGAGAGTTCTGTTGCCTGCACAGAAGGTAAATGCTCACTTCTACCAGGGAAGTTTGAATTATTAATTAATATTGCAGAACAGTAAAATAAGATTTTATTATTCAGAGTCATAATGTGAGAAAAGGGAGAGTGACTTGAGAATAGGTTTTAGTTAAATTTCAGTCCAACCTACAACAACATGAGAGGCTGGATGTTCTTTGTGGTTTTGAGAATACACTTCAAATCTTTATAGTTTTGTATACTCCTATTTGGGATGTAAAATCTCATTTAATTAGTTTAACCAGTTAACTGATTAAATGGGGATAGGCTGGGGGGAACTCCAACTCTGCTGGGCCCCATAGGGCTGCTCCAGCTCCATCGCCCAGTAAGGGTGATGCTAACTGGTTAACCATTCAGATCCATAACTCCTATATGACAACTACTTAGCGTTTTACTAAAAACCTACTAGTGAGAGACTTTTAACTAGCCAGAGATAGTTATGGTGGATGCAAGGAAGGGAGAGGTGTGCAGAACTCATCAGGGAGGCCAAGGGACAATGTCCCATTGATAAATACAGGCAGTCCTCGAGTTACGTGGATTCGACTTATGTCGGATCCGCAGTTACGAACGGGGCTTTTCTCGCCCCGGAGGACGTGAGTGGCGGGATGCCCAGATGCACCACGGTCCCGCCGCCCGCGTCCTCCGGGCGAGAAAAGCTGCTCCGCGTCTCCCTGGTCTGCAGTGGGGGGAGGCCCCCCCTTGCA